AGGCCGGGGCATCGCCCTTAACGTTGCTAGTGGGAGTGGGACTGTTAGTGCCCTTCTTCCTTGGGGCTTCAGGGGACTGAGGACCCGCTGTCCGGCGCTTCCCTCTGGCCTTACCAGCAACCAGCCATTCCCCCTCCCCTTCTCCACAACTGCACCGGCAGCGGGCGAAGGCTCTTTGGGGAATGTGGCTTTAGGTAACGCGCCGACCGGAGGATTAACCGACCCGGTCCGGAGGCTGGTACGCCCATTACAGGCGAGGTGGAATTTTGAGACGCGGTCAGAGGGGATCTTGTGTAACTGGCGCTTGACTTCCAGAGGCCTTCTTCTCTGGGCAGGAGGAGGAGAGATGACCAGTCACCCACACCTCCAGCATACCGGTCTCCGACCCGTCACAATGACCGGTAATTTCAAAGCGCCAACATCCAGACAGTTGGGGATGGAGCGGAAGGCTTTCTCGTCCAACATGATATCAAAGCTCCACCCCCGTTCAGGCTATCGCAGGAAGCTCCCAGAATCTCGCCATACCGGGAGAAGAAAGCGGCCAGATGTTCCCCGATAACCTGAGGAGGGACCTCGTATACTGTTACCCTGGTCCTTCGCCGGCCTTCGTATTCTGTACGCAATATCAGGTCGTTGTTAATTAGTTCGCGGCGGCTAGCCGCGCGACAATCTTCTGGTGTGGGCAACAGTACGTCCCCATGAAAAATTTAGCACCCTTAACTATTCTAAGGGGCTTGAACCCGAAGGATTCTAGTGCTTTCAACACTGTGTTTTTCGTCGAGCGACAAATTTTGCGCGTACGCTTGTCCACGACGAAAACTGACACTATTCTTTTATCAATTCTCTTTAATTCTTGGGGGTCTTCCAAAAGATCACCTTCAACAACAAGGTGGGCATAACTCTTGGCACGCTCCAAGAACTCCACTAAATTGATTATGCATTTAGGAGGGGACTTCCAACAAGAGGGCGAATCCCCGGCCTCTGCATTAGTATTTGCGTTGTCCGTTTCTTGGTCATTACTTTTTTCAGCCTCCATATTTTTGGAGGCTTTTTTTAAAGTTTCCACAATTTCCTCGTTAGTAGGAACAGTTGGAAGGTCAGGATATTCATCCTTATTATCTTTATCCGGGGGATCCTTCTTGGGGTTAAATAGGTGTTTTCTTATACTTCTTTTAAAAGAAGCATTTTTAATTTTCTTTTTGGTAATTAAAAAAGAAGGTACTTTTTTTTCCTTCTTATCCATATTTTAAAGGGGGGGGATGGGAAGGGGGAAAGGGAGGGGGGGAAATAAATATATGGGCGAGAGGAAAAGAAATAAACTCAACAAAATAAAATAATTATGGACACCAAAAAACAATTAGACGGTTCACCTAAACGTATAAAGAAAACAATAAAATACAAATATCGCCTAAAGGCGAAAAGACAAACACGTAATAAACAAAAAACTTTAGACAGTAAAAAAAAACAGAAAAAACTTCGACAAAAGCCGAAGCTAAAATAAAATCAAAATGGCCGACGTCAACAAAAAATTACGAAACAATAACACAAAGCTAATTACAAATATCCAAAATGGCCGACGTCAATAAACAAAAAAAATACGTAACGAAGACAGACGAAGCTAGACACAAAAAATAAAAATGGCCGACCCTAAGCGAGTCGAAAAAAACGATTACAAGCAAAAAAAAACACGTAAAAATTAAAAGGAAGAAAACAAATAAATAATTAACACAGAATAACGAACAGGACGAAAATAAAGAAAATGACAATTAACACGAAAAACTAGAATTAAAAGGGGTAGAAATGAGAAGAAAAAACTGCGGAAATTAAAGGAGAAAAAAAACGGAAAGCAAATTAGATTAAAAAGGAAAACGAGTAAAAATTAAAGGAGTAAAAATTAAAATAGGAAAACTAGAATAAACAGAATAAAGAGTAAAAATTAAAAGGGGAGGTGAAAAAAAATAATGGAGCGTAGAAAGAAAAAAAATCAAAAAACTTTTACAATAAAGTCGTAAATAAAATAAACAAACTTTAAACAAAATGCAGTTCCGAAGGGTAACACAAAAAGGTCGAGTTGTTCGCAAAAGTTCCAAAAAATAACCAGAAGCCAGTCAAGAACGACACCAGTAAACACCAGAGTTGGACTGCTACTGCCTGTGTTGGCAAACAGTGAGAGTTTATATAGCAAGCTTTAGGCTCAAAATGGCTTAGCGCGAAAATAGAGAAAAGATATTAAAATACGTGATTGGTCAGGAAATGACCAATCCGTGATTTTAGAGAAAATTTTGAATTACCTGCGATGGTTAAATTGTCCTATGATAAGTATCATGTATTTACTATCCAATAAGAATAAAGAAAACGGAGGTGTGGCACATGTAAGTGATTCCCACATTACCCCGTCCAGATTGAAAAGTCAGTGAAGGAAGAGTTTTCAATATGTAATAAAAGTCCTGAACTTCTTAGGCCAGTGGACAGTCCGTCCGCTAGCAGTCCTAGTTGGTGCTGGTGACGAAAACTGAGGGCTGTCTAACGAAGGGCTCTTAGGTTGATTGGTTGATCCATCGCGTTCAATGCATGCAGGTTTCAAGCGATCGATGGAGAAAGTCGATCGGCCGTGGTTAGTCTGTAAAGTATAATATTTATCGGTCCGGGCAAGGACACGCAATGGACCCGCATAATGTGGTGTCAGTGGCTTTCTAACGGAATTCTGTCGTACAAAAACGTACTCGCATTCCAGTAAGGAAGGAGGTACATAAACGTCACGTGAAGTGTAACGGGTTGGAGTAAAAGCAAGGGAAGACATTTTCTTCCGAAAATAGGTGATAAAACTGGACGAAGGTTCCTGTGTAGATGTTACGGAAAAATATTGACCTGGTAGTACCAATTGTTGTCCGAAAACTAGATCAGCAGGCGAGCATTTCAGATCTTCTTTTACTTGTGTGCGAAGTGAAAGTAAGACAAAAGGTAGGTTGTCTATCCAAGAAGATTGGTTAGTAGTGCCTATGCTGGTCAAAGCAGCCTTAAGTTGGCGGTGGAACCGCTCGACTAGTCCATTTGAACATGGGTGGTAAGCAGTTGTTGATATATGACGAGCTCCAAGTAAATTCGTAAATTCAGTGAACAACTGAGATTGGAACTGCGGTCCTCGATCAGTGGTAATGATCGAAGGGCATCCGTAAATAGAAATCCAATGTTGAAATATGGCGCGAGCCACGGATTCAGCGGTAGTGCTATTGAGTGGAACAGCAACCGGCCATCTCGTAAATCTATCTATAATTGTCAAAATGTATTGACATCCCCGAACTTCCGATAAGGGACCCACTAGGTCCGCATGTAGATGTCGGAAACGACCATCACGGGTAGCAAAACGACCAACTGGTGACTTAGTGTGTCTCTGGATCTTGTTTTGTTGACAAACTACACAAGATTGAGTATAACGAGTAATGTCTTTACGCATCTTAGGCCAGACAAAACGGTCTGCAATTAACCTAAGTGTAGCTTTACGACCAGGGTGGGATAACGAATGGAAGTGGTCAAATATTTGTCGCCGCATGTTGGTTGGGACGACAGGTCGAGGATTACGTAGACTGGTGTCGCACGCGATATGCTTATCGGTAAAGGGTAAGGGATGATGCTCAATATGTAGTGACGAATCTCGAAGTGAGTCGAGCAAAGTTATCTCCCGTACTTGTTCATCCGCGATTTTTTTCATGTCTAAAAAAGTATCTTGCAGGCTTCCACATAAGGATGCTCTGGAAAGTGTATCGGCAGTAATGTTATCCTTTCCTTTAATGTGACGTATATCCGATGTAAACTGAGATATGTAATCAAGATATCTGTAGTCTCGAGGATTGTACTTGTCTGATTTAGTTGAAAGAGCAAAGGTGAGGGGCTTGTGATCTGTGTAGATCACAAAGTGTCTACCCTCTAAAAGGTGTTTAAAATACTTAATTGACAAGTATATAGCTAAAAGTTCCCTGGAAAAGGTACTATACTTCTTCTGTGTGGACGTTAACTTAACGGAGAAGAAGGAAATTGGCAAAGATTTAGCGTCAACATGTTGGTGTAAAACTGCGCCTATGGCGTCAGAAGATACGTCAGTCGTTAATGATAACTGAGTAGTAACACTGTCAGTGAGGCATGAAAGTTTCGTAAAGTTGACCAATGCTTTACGAGAGTTATCAAATGCTTTTGTTGTATCGTTGTTCCAACAAATAGGAGTATTTTTACGATCTTGCCCGCGAAGTATATTTGTCAGGGGTGCAAGAATTTGTGAGCAACGTGGGATGAATTGACGATAGTAATTGATTAAGCCAATGTATCTGCGAAGCTGTCGAAGTGTGGAAGGCTTCGGAAATTCCTGGATAGCACGTATTCTTTCAGGTAGGGGAGTAATACCTGTAGCATCAATGACGAAACCGAGAAAGTGGAGTTGCAAAACGGCAAACTCACACTTCTCTGGGTTGATTTTTAAACCAAAGTTCTGAAGACGATCAAAGACTTGCTGAATATGTTCACGATGCTCCTGTAAATTAGGGCTAGCTATTAGAAGGTCATCTATGTATGCGAAAGTGAAAGGTAGTTCACGAAGTACCTCATCTATAAGGCGTTGGAATGATTGAGCTGCGTTACGCAGTCCAAAAGGCATACGTAGAAATTCAAATAAACCAAACGGCGTGGTTATCGCAGTTTTGGGAATATCTTCGTCAGCAACTGGGATCTGATGAAAGGCTTTGCGCAAATCCAGTTTAGTGAAGACGGTTGCTCCCTGTAAGGTAACAGCAAAGTCGGTCAAATTGGGAACTGGGTACTTATCGGGTACCGTTTGTGCATTAAGTCGTCTGTAGTCGCCACACGGCCTCCAGGCGCCCTGTTGAGCCTTAGTGACCATGTGAAGCGGTGAAGCATATGGACTCGAGGATGGGCGAATAATCCCGATGTCGAGCATGTGTTGGAACTCGGCCCGGGCAATCTTGTATTTATCCGGCGCAAGACGGCGAGGTTTAGAATAGACAGGCTGTTCGGTAGTTCGAATCCTGTGTACAGTGCTGTGCTTGACAGGCTCTGTATAAGTAAAAAGGTTGTATTAATGAGGGAAATTTATCCAATATATCCTGAATCGGATTATCGCGCGGCACAGCGATGCGTAATTCTGTTGATGTTAGCTGTGATACAATTCCGCAGTTAGATAGCTTCGTGGTGGAGTCAGATAACTGACGCTGTGAGAGATCCACGATGAGTTGGTAATGTGCCAGAAAGTCGGCGCCTAATATGGGAAATTTCACGTCTGCAACAGTGAATATCCATTGAAATGTCCTTCTCAGCCCAATATCCAACGTTAATGACTGTTCACCATAAGTCTTAATGTTCGTGCCATTAGCAGCGCGTAAGGTGACTGCAGAATTAGTTTTAGTAAAGTTGGGTGATGGTGGAACAACACTAAGCTGTGCTCCAGTATCTACTAGGAATGACATGTTAGAATTCCTGTCTTTTATATAGAAGAGACGGTTAGTAATATGTGTCCCAACAGTAGATGCCGCCTTCAAGTGCTGCTGGGATCGGCGTTTCCCGCCTTCCGTAATGCTTTGGGTGAAGGTAGGCACTTGAAGGTACATGGTTTAATGCATCTGTGAGCTTTATCACCGAAGTTAAGATGGTACCAGCATAGCGTGGGTCGGCGAGCGCGAGTAGCAGAATGAGAGCGTCGTCGTACCTTGTATGAGTTTTTATCCTCTGGTCTGGTAAGATGTTGCACCTGAGTGGAAAGCCTCTCGAGTTGCTGTTTTAGCTGTTCAATTACATCCCTCATAGCAGCGTCAGTGGGTACAGGTGAATCCACGCTGCTGATGGTGGGTACGTCACTAATTTTATCAGCAATCTCAGCAATTCTCGAAAGATCTAAGTCATCGGGAAGCGTAGCCAGAATCTGTGAAGTATATGGCGGTAACTTGTCCAGCCAAAGTTTGCGGAATAGTGATTCCGTTTCGTCGGAATAGTGATTCGGTATTAAACATCGAGTTCGATTTTCCTAACAGACTCTTCATTCGTCTGAGTAATTGCGACGGGCGGCTATCTCCGAGCTGTACGGTATTAAACAGATCGTGCAACCTGCGCTCTTGTGCGATTTTCCCGTACGGTATATAATCGGTGGCTTCCTTTTTAGTACATCAAATCTGGGGTTTTTTGAGCGGAACGGCCCTTCTGAGAAGGTCTAGACACGTCAGCAGCGATCTCCCAGGTGGTAGAAAACTTCTTTTCGACTACGTATGCGTAACGCGCAGTCTGAGTGTATACTGTATATGCTTTGCTTGGAATATGGCTTCAGTCTGGGCGAACCACACGTTTACATTAGCTATGTCGAAAGTTGGGAGGGTCAGACATTCACAACGGCTGTCTCTTGTGCGGACTGTTCAGCCATTATGATTAAGCACGTGGTTTTCTTGGCGCGAAGTAATCTCTCGGTAAACTGGATCGGTAGTACGGTCCTACGACGAACGTCAGGTTCATCAATTGTAGTGCAGAATTTAGTTCCAACGTCAAGTTTATCACTCGTAGTTCCTTCGTCGAACGTCGAGGTTTATCAAATGTAGCGTACGTCGGGGTTATCAATTGTAGTAGGTACGTCGGGGTTATCAATTGTAGTAGGTACGTCGGGGTTACCAAATGTAGTGGTGCTGTAAGTATTGTTGGCTAGGGTCACCGTGAATATAATAAAGAAGGAAGACTGTGTTCTTGTAAAACAACACCCCCACATGAATAATGTACAACAAACACGAGAGAGGTTTAAAAATAATCAATCTCAATGAACATTAATAATATATTGTATTAACAATGATATACAAATATCAGCAATAGTATAAAAAGTTGTTCCCCATTTTCCGTAATAAAAAGGGTAAATTTAGCTAATAAATGTTAATAAATGTTACAAAATTGACTGTAATTTAAATACAAGGTTCAATTGAAGTCTTAGCTAAATAAAGAATAGTTCCACAGTGTTTTACCAGTGTAGAAAAAATATAATGTTCATGAGTGATATTAATAGGAATCAGTATGATTACTTGGTTGAGAGATAATTAAAATTAAAATGTCAATATAGCGCCGTGCCTTGCTTTCCAAGAGTTGAACTGCTACTGCCTGTGTTGGCAAACAGTGAGAGTTTATATAGCAAGCTTTAGGCTCAAGATGGCTAAGCGCGAAAATAGAGAAAAGATATTAAAATACGTGATTGGTCAGGAAATGGACCAATCCGTGATTTTAGAGAAAATTTTGAATTACCTGCGATGGTTAAATTGTCCTATGATAAGTATCATGTATTTACTATCCAATAAGAATAAAGAAAACGGAGGTGTGGCACATGTAAGTGATTCCCACATGTACATAGTACAATAAATAATGAGAATTTACGACGACCAAATTTGCTAAACGACTTCACGACGCTTGAATCATTACTGCAGCGAAGTACAAAGTTGGAACCTAAAGTTCTTTACTTTAACATAAATAACTTCACTGAAAATCAAGCTACAATTTCAACGAAAGATTTCACTCACCAACTTCTACAATTTTGTATAAAACTTACTTATTCAATTACGTTATTGAATCAGACGAAACTTAAGTACGGACAATTACGAACAGTACAATCAACTACGAGCAACGAAAACAAACGGAACATTCACTTCTCCAAACTTCTTTAAAGCCAAAAGTTTAACATATTTTCAGCTTTATAAGATTCTCTTTCAGTGAACATTTTGAACTACAAGTTAATTCAGTTTTTGTGAGCTCGGATAAAAAAATGTTTTTTTATTAGTAAAAACATTAGCCCAGTCAAAGGGAAGTAATTCATATTATTGTTATTGTAAAACTGTTGTCATTTATAAATATAAATATTATACCTGTCAAGAAAAGTTATTTTCTTGTATTCTTTCTCTTGTTTGCTTTTTATTTTCTTGCACATTCGTAAAGTAAAAAATGTGTGGGTTGATTTATGCCGTCAATACCACTACAATTATATTTTCAAAACTGCCAGTGAGAACTAATTCATTGCTTTGAAACGAATTATCCTTCTTTATCTCAAATTTTTGCTAACTATAGTGAAGTTATCAAGACCCTTGTGGTTACAAAAAAGTAAGTCATAATAATAGTAATAACAATAATAGCAATAGTGTAAATAACTCTGGAAAAACTAAAATTCACGACTGGACTCCAAAGGTCCGTAATTCTAGTCAGAATAAAAACCGTACTTTGGAAATCTTTAACACAAGGAGTAGTAGCAATCTTTCGAAATGTAAATTCTGTGATGAAGAAAAATATTCAAGTACTAAATGTTCCAGATATCCTTCCCTAGAGTCCACATTGAATAGGTGTAAAGAATTAAAGTTATGCCTACTATGCATGAGTATGAAACATAGCAAAGATGAATGTAGAGGGAAATTATAAATATAAATTAAAGATTGAATGTACGTTCTGTAACTCGAGGAGTCATATATGTGTGTTATGCCCCCTTAAGCTTAGAAGTAAACCCTCTACGACTAATATGTATCTAAATACACAGTCAGGACAGCCTAATTTTCTTCTGCCAGTGGTCTGCCTTTCTGTCAGCAGTGGTGGCAGAATACATAACTTCAACTGTCTAGTGGACACGGGAAGCCAGAGGTCTTATTTCTCGGAATCAGTTTTGAGGATGCTAAAAGGTGAGGACTGCTACGTTTGCCCCTCTTTTTGATTATTGATATAGGATTTTCCCAGTGGTACTCGTTCCTCCCAATTTTAATTGATAACCAATTTAATATCAGGTTTGATGTTGATTGTTTTCATCTGATTATTAAAACCTGAAAAATCTAAACTTTAAGTTAGCTGGAAAATTTGCTAAAAATACAGATACCATTTTGATGCATGGTTTGTTGGGGTTGATTTGATACCATTCATGAAGCCTATGTTTCTGATAAAATGCATGGGTGGTACAGCATGGAAACTACCCAATGGGATCATTCCATTTGGAAATGTTAATAATTTCTTGTATCCGAACCAAATTATCCTTCCTGGAAAAGGTCAGAAAGGTGCAGATAGTAAATTCTATGCTATTGTTTGTAAATACTCTTCGTGCTCCGCGTCTTATGTTAACTTTGTTTTAGAACCTAAAAAGGGACACGTTGATCCATTTTTCGATACGCTTGAAAAAGTTGCGTGGAACGTAACTTGGATAAAATGTTTAATATGGAAACGTTGGGTTTGCCCAACGAAGAAGATGGTGTTATAGGATACAAATCCTATATTCCAACAAATGGCTAAAAAAACACAAAGTAGATTTGCACACCCGCAAAATCGGATCAAAACGACCAAAAACAGATTTCACAATAAGGTGTGAAATTAATTTTCTGACCAGGAGGCGATTTGCTAAACCCCCCCAAAAAAAGATAACGAGCCAGTGTGAAAAAAAAGTCAACAATAAATACAGAGTTTTCAAGTCAGTTGCCAGTCAGTCACGCAGAGACAGGCGCAAAAGATCACAGAAGATTGACAGTAAATTTCTTCACTGACTCAAACCGACACAAAGAGCCGAAAGTGGAGTAAGAAACAACAACAACAACAAATTTACAACTGACTCCAAAACAATTCATAAGTACATTTTCCTTTTATCTTTATTCCTCATTCACACTCTCTTTTTCAACTTAAATTGCTCGCCCCTTTTTCATTTTACAACTATACAAAAACAAAAGAAACAGACATTATTCTGCTACTCTGTTAAAAGACAGCGAACACAGACATTTTTATCAAGATCACATTTTTGCTTAAACGAACTAAAACAGTAATCTTTTTTACCCTATTCACAAGATAATAAATATACAATGTTCTATTTCCTATAAACGTTCCTTATCGTGTTGTTTCTTCTTGAAATTTGCGTTGTATTTTGTGGGCAGGGTATCCCGTATTAAATTCTCCTTTAATCCGGGTACGCTGAACTCCACAGTGTGAGTGATTATGACAGGGTGAAGATTAGGGTTTCAATGAGAGATCTATAGAGTTTAGAGATAATTCTTATTATGTGAAGTTACCTTGGATAGAAGAAAGAATAAGTTCCGTACCTTCGAATCATGCTGTAGCTCTTGGCGTATTGAATAGAGCTATTAAAAGCTTAGAAAAGCGAAATCCGTTTGACGAATATGCCAAGGTGTTTCGCGAGCAGGAGGAGGAAGGGATAATAGAAAGGATTCATGTTACCCCTGATAATTTCAAGGATTATATATGGATTCCCTACAGACCTGTTTTTAAAACCGAAGATCAAAGCACCAGTAAGATAAGATTTTTAATTGTTCACTTAAAACTAAAACAGGGTACTCCTTAAACGAAGCAGCCTACCCTGGAATAAATCTAATGGGAAACATGCTAAAACTATTATTGTTGTTTTGTTCCAACAAATATGTTTTACTCGCTGACATAACGAAGGCTTTCCTGATGATTAAACTTAGCTTGGAAGAGGACAAAAATAGATTCTGTTTTTTGTTTTTTTTTGTTTTTTTTTATGAAGGAAGGGAGCAGATTAGTTTGTTTCAGATAAAACATTCTCTTATTTGGGAGAATTGGCAAGGCGGATATACATCGGTTTGAGGTTATTTATCCT